TAGTGTCCAACATCTCTCCAGGGTCTCTTCAGCTGAAAGGCTTCCCAGCAGCATGCTGGCTCTGGTGGGAGAGGTGGGAGGGTTATTATCACTTGGGAAATTGGAGGAGTAGCAGCTGTGCTCTCTCCCAAAGTTGCCCTTGCTTGTGGCCAGCCCATCCTCCGTCCTTTGAGCTCTCAGACAGACACTGCCATAATCAGATTATAAGATTTCTGGGCCACTTGCTGAATTTGGAGAGCTTGTGGGGTGTTTTCTGTTGTGACTGAGAGAGATATTCGTATTTAAGCATTTATACCTATAAAGTCAGCAGAATATTCAGAGTCAGTGAAGGGCCAAGCACCAGCAAACTCTTCTTCACTTGCTGTGTAAATGCAAAAAGAGCAACTGAACTGGTGAACATTGTGATCCCCAAATGGCCTTATTCATGATAGCCCTCATGTACTTTGTTGATTGGTGTCTGATTCCACAAAGCATTTCTCTCCTGTTCTGGAATACAGAGGTTAAGCAGAAAAAATTATTATTAAAAAAAAATAAAAAGCCAATTTTTATACCTGTATGATGGGAATGACATGAATGAATGATTGACATGGTTTCTTCTGCAGTGCTACTGCCAACCTTGCGATTTCAGCTGAGGATAAAGAAATTGAATCATCCGTCTATTCTCCAGAAGACAAACCTTGAGAAGTTCAAGGGAAACTGGAAAGCTCTTTGAAGAACCTACTGAGCCATAAGAACCTTGAGGATCAGCTTTGACACATCTTGTTTACCAATAAAGCAGGGAGAATAATATCCTGTGTGAAGAAATCTGTGAATGCTGAGCTCTCTGCCCAGGCAAGGGGCACATTCCATGAGATCCTGTGCAGTCTTCCTCTTCTCCCAGATGAAGCTTTTCAGGATAGAGAACTGGATTCTGTCCACCTCTGTGAAGCACCTGGAGCATTTATAGCCTGCCCTAAGCACTGCTTGAAGTCCCACCATGTCCCTTGCCACGGGAATTGGACAGCTAATACTCTAAACCCTTGTCATGAAACCAGAGACGCCCTTCTGATGATCATGGGTGATGCTCTGACAGTGAACACGTTACCTTGGTGGTACTTTGGCCCAGATAACACTGGGGATTGGAGTGGCACTCGTAGGGAGAAGACTCTGGGTCAGGTGTGAGAGGTATGACGCTGATGATGTGGATCATTATGAATAAACTTACTGCTAATAGAGGATCTCAATCTTGTCACTGCAGTATAAAATAGAGCAGGTTTGGCTGGAAACCCACAGGTTTACAGTCTTTGGCAGTGCAGAACCCACAGAGACAAAGCAACAAGGCTCCTCTGGAGCTGCTTCAGGATTTTATCTGGGGACACGACTGGATCTTAGTTGGATCTGCACTCAGAGGCACCAGGAAGCTGCTGGGGCATGCAAGGAGCTCCAGTGACCCAGGGAGAGGGTGGCAGGAGCCTTCCAGCACTCGGCTCCTTGCCGGGTGCAAGGGAAGCCTGCAAGGCTGGGATGGATGCTGCAGCTCTGCCTCTACCTTCTGGATACTTTCCCATCCAGAATGGGATTTCAAACTGCTGAAGAGCAGCCTCTCTGAGGTGCATTCCCAAAGGCAAAGGTACTCTAAAGTGAAAATCACTGCTCTAACTTGTGCCACTTTGCTTCTGAGTTTAACAAGAGGAGCATCCCCAGGAGCGCCCATTTTTGCAGCTCTCTGGCTCCCAACTAACTGCAGACATGCCAGCTGAGCCAAGGAATTGGGATTTCTAGTTGTGATCACAAACTTGCCAGATTGTGCCATCATGGTAATTGATTTCTTGACTTAAATTTATACTGCTCTATCTTGTCTTCAGGTTACAGTGTGTGTGACATGGAGCTTCAGTCCTTAAATGCTCAGAGGCTCTTCCTGTGTATTGTCAGTCTCTTAGAATTTTTCATTGGCTTTTTTTATAGGTTCTGAACTCCTCTGCATTGTCCCATGTTTGGTGGGTTGAAATGCCAGCTCTTGTGCATGAGCCAGAAGAGTGCTTCCAGCCTGAAGCTGAACTCACTAATTGAGCTGTGGTGACCTGCTATGAACAGGTAATTCTTTCTCCTCGTCCCCCCTCCTCCCCTTAAAACTACATTATTTACATTCCACTCTCTAAATTGACTGAACAGAGTTTGACTTTTTCTGTGCATAAAGTTTAATGATTTGTGTAGTGTTATCATGTTATAAATGAATGCTCTAATTTATTAATTAACGAAAATTTATCAAATGTTCCAAATATAAATTTAGAAGATAACAGCGAAAAGACACTATCAAAAAAAAAAAAAAAAAAAAAAAAAAAAAAAAAAAAAAAAAAAAAAAAAAAAAAAAAAAAAAAAAAAAAAAAAAAAAAAAAAGAAAAAGGGCCAGTGCTGAGCCCGGGATCAGCACTGGGTGAGACACACATTTGACTGCTGCAGCAGAGGGTCCCCCTATGTTCACACCGTCCTGCTCAAGCGGTGTTTATACAGTTTATTTTGTTCAAGGCAGGGATTTCCGAGATTGGGGATCGGGCTTTTCTTTCCATTCAAAGTCTCACATATTCATAGAGTCTCTTTTCTCTGGCTGAGTTGAACAAAACTGTGTCTGGGAAGTGATGTATGCCAGTCAGAGGATTACTGGAACTTGACATTGAGATGTGTCTTCTTGATGGCTCTGGCTATCTCAATCTGAGATATTTATCAAGTATTCATCTCATGGGTGTTCCTCGGATTACCTTGGAGAAGCACCCATCTCCAAGCTGGCCACGTCCATTCGTTTAGAAATTAGGTAATTTTCTCCCTGCTGCCAGCTTTGGTTTCAAAATTCTGTGAAGCAACTTTCCCGTTCTGGCTTGAGTGCTTAAGGATACGTACAGGAATATGTCTTATCAATGTAACATATTTCATACAACTATTTCTCACAAGCATGAATTATCTAAAATACACGTAACAATCAGGTGCCAATAACAACGTCTATGCTGTAGCAGTTTAGATGAAGTAGTTGTCATGACAACTCAATTAACTAAATCAACATATCTGTAAGCAGGTGCAGCTCATGTGCTCTGCATCACCTTTACTTCCACACAGATCATATCATGTGCCAATGAGTCTGCCCCTCAGCTCTCTGCCTCTCCTCCCCTCTCAGCCAGGAAGATGAGGTACAAGGCAGTACTGCTCACTCTCAGCTGGGATCTGGCACATGTGGAGATGATTCTGGCAGTGCAGAAATCTAGATCAAGCCATTGTCACCTTCCTCTTCCTCCCTCCCACTCCTCCCCATTCTTCACTTGAGGTCACCTTTCAGGAACTGTGTGCTAGGTCTGCTCTAATTAAAGGAGAGTTTGTAGATAAAGACATATAGATCTGCTTGCCCATAAAATGTGTTTTTATACAAAGAACTAGGACAATCAAATAAGACAGCCAGCCTGAGGTTGTCTTGAGATCAGCAGGTTTTGGTGATGCATGTAGCTTCACTCACCCAAGAGCTGTGGAGCAGCTGACAACTCAAAGTCAATGCTTAGGTCACAACCGAGTTCTAATTGCCTTCACTGTTCCAATACCTCCCTCAAAACACAAACCACCAAGGAACAGAAGAGACAAAAAAGGAGGGTTCCTTGTTAGAAAGTTGTTGAGGTTACTGACCTAGAACAGAGGCTGGACAGAGTTACAGAATAAAGCAGGGATTTGCTAAAATGCCTCAATGGATCCACCTTGGGCAGCACAAGAGCCCAGCCAGGCCCACACCCAAGATGGACCCAGAACGTCCCAGAATGGACGACCGCTCACAAGGTCTCTCACTTTGATCAGTTCTGGCCCATCTGCACCTTGGAGTGAATTGTCCAATTCCAGCTTTGGCTTATCAAGTCCCACCCTTCTTGTCTTTCTCTCTTCAGCCCACCATTGTTTGTGCTCTTGGGTCTGAGATTTGGATCATTTGTCCTTGGTCCCCAGCTAGAGAAGAAATTGTTTTGTCTGCCTTCTCTGTGAAGAGCTCACCATCCCCTAATATGAAGCCCAGACCTACATACTAAAGCAGCACAGAATCTGAAAAATATAAGCTAAAACCTGAGGCATCACTGCACTGCATTAGATGCAACCAGTAATGAATATTTAGTCCATGGGACCAAATTAAAAGTGGTCTGAAATAAGCCTTGAAATTCCCCTGATGTGGGTAAGCTCTTAGCGCCAACCATTTGGCTTTGCAGAAGTGGTCTTGTGTCACACCATGTGATAATGTAGCTATAGAAAACCTGTGGCTACTGCTGTGCACCAAAAAGGGAAAGAAAATCTGAAAGCAGGAGTAAAAGTATAGAAAAAGTCAAAGGGTTGCAATAAAAGAGATACTGTTACATTGCATTAACGTAATTTTCAAGCAATGAACGCTGAGGGAAAAGATGAGAAATAAATTACTAAATATTTGTGACATAACATTCAAGGACTTGAAGACTTTTCTTGATGAATAACTTACATGAGTAGGATCATCCATGACTTTGGAACTGTATTAACTTTTGGAAATATGCAAAACATTGATTGTTTAGTGTTTGAGCAACCACATAGCTGCTGCACAGAAAGTGCCCAGGAGCTTCCTGACAGCTAAAAAATGGCAAAGTTGTTTTGTAGACCTAGAACTGCAACTGCTTTGTTTTTGTCATTGACTTTTAATTCACTAGTACCTGGAGACCATAAAAATGAAGATACAAGACTGTTTTATAAACACTACACAACCCCCATGCCACAGGGTATTTAGTGGCAGAGAGTTCCAGGTGAATTCATTGCAAATCCCAAATCTGCATTCACATGGGGCTCTGGGACTGATGGGCCACAGACATGACCTAAATGGAAAAGCAGGATACATGGGTCATCCACACATCAACATTGTCATTCTCAGTGAGAAGGTGCAGTTGTGGTTGAACTGTGGCCAAATTTTAGTCATAAAGCTTGTTGAGAATGATGCCAGAATAGAAGAATGGAGAGAATGGATCCAGAATAGAAAATCATTGGGAACTAGATGCTGAAAATGCTACTTTGTAGAATACAAACAAGGAAAAACAATAGCTTTGTTATCCAACAAATATTGCATTCCAGCTCTGATATAATCAAGTTTTATATTGATGCTGCAAACCTCACAGGCTGCTTCAAAAGAGGCCCATGCAAAATTCTTGCACTGCTCATCCGTTTTGCACCAGCAGATGGGAAAGCAGGAATTCCAAACAGGATTTCTCAGTGGAAAGACCTGTGTTGAAGTTAAGTAAGAAGAAAAGGACAGTGTTGCATAAACGAGGAATTGTTCTATTTCTGCGTCTGGAATTTTCACCTGGACGTGCCTAAAATCCTTTGCTGTAAATGTTTGCAGCATTGGAGTATCACAAATGCTGCAGGCTTGCCAGTTGTTGATAAAAAGGAAGAATAGGACTGAGAACATGCTAATTGTAGTACTAGTGAAGAAATCAAGCAGTGAAAAAATTGGTTTTGACTTTGTGATGAATGATGAAGTCTTAAATACTGGCAGGATTACAAAAATAGTACAGCAAATTTGGTATATTGTTACAAATGTAATCTGTACAGCTAACTGATTGTATGTGACTTTATTTTATGAACAGAGTGTAAAAGCTATTAGGGAAAAAAAAAAAAAAAAGAGCATTTTAAAAACACCCAGAAAGGAAAAAAAGGATATAACCTTG